CATGGTGAAGAAGCGGAAAGGCCGTGTCCTTATCGACTCCGACACTGAGGACAGCGGCAGCGAGGAGAACCTGGACCAGGTGCGCGGGCAGGCCCGGYCCGAACGCGGGGCCTGTGCTTGCCGGCCCGCGCGAGGCTCGGCGCCGCCACCCCTGCCTCGCTCCCGCCCGGTGGTCCCGCGCCGCGCTCGCCCTCCTCAGCCCGATGGGCCCCGCGGCCACCGTGGGGAGAGCCCGCGCCCCTCCCGCGGGTCCCCGGCCCGCCCCTGGCAAGAGGCCCGCGTTGGCGGGGGCTCTTTGCGCGGGCCCGGTGCTCAGCGCCGGCGGGACGGAGGGGCGATGGATGCTCTGGGGCGATGCTGGGGGCGAGTCTGGCCCTGAGGAGCGGTTAGCGAGGCCCGGCTGCCAGCGGTCTTCCCACCTCGAGTAGTGGGGAAAGAGGCCCGAAGGGCTGGGCAACTTTTCCGTACTACTTTGGCACGCCGGGAGAGCAGCATGTCTGGTCCTTGCCTCCCYTCAGGGCAGGCGGGCTCCCGGAGTGTTAATGCGTGTTTAATGCACCCCCCTCAGTCTTGGTGGCTGGCTGGGGGAGCTCTGTTGATGGGCAACCGTATGGAGTTAGGAGCCTGTAGATATAACRACGAGTAGTATTTATTTATTTATTTGCCATCAGGGCATCTCCTGGGGTTTTAAGTGCAATGTCTGGCATCAGTTCAACCGTGTCAGGGTTGCAAAAAGGCTCTCTTCCTCTTTGGAGAGGGCTGCTTTCAAAGACTCACCTTTTGGTGTAGCAGGTACTGATGGTACGATTCAAATGGCAAATAAAGACATTATAGGTGAAGAGTGTTACAGCTTGTATGGCAGTGCTTGTTCCGGGGRGAAGTTTGGCAGATCAAATACACTGAAGCCTACATCTCTGATGTAATTTATGTGTTGAACCTTCGGGTTTTTAATATAGAAGCTGTTGCTATGTTGCAATAAAAAGCCTTTCCAAGTGCTCAGAAATACTTTTGCAGATTGGAGCTTCAGAAAAATCAGTTTGGATACTCTTTTAAACAAATACACTGGAGCAGATGTGGTTGGTCTTGCATACCTCTAGAGTCCCTAGAGSTGCCAACATCTTGCTAGTGTATCAAGTTTTGGAACTTGCAAATAGGAGTTGGATTAGCTCTAGCATCAGTCAGACAATCAGAGCAATGGTGGTAGGAATAACCACATGGTTCTGCATCTCTTCCATCCTTCCCTGGCAGCAGGTGTCTGCAGCTGTACCTGAGGAGTAGGTGCTTCCCCCTCCACTGAGCTTTTTGTAGCTGTAACAGCAGGGAGATGTATATGCAAAGATGAAGATTAGGTAATAGGGAAGCAATGTTTTTGAGATGAGAGAATATTGACTTAAGTGTTAAATACTGAGTTAGCCCCTATAGATGAAATGTTTGACAGCTTCTCATAGCAATMTAGGCTTGTTGAATCAAAGAGCTAGCAGCCTTTTTATTATAGTATCTTCGAAAACAGAAAACAAGTGTAGAAAGATAGAAAGAAGGAATATTGCTCAACTTAAAGCTGGTCTCCTYTTCGGGAGCTTCCCAAAGAGAAGCTCTATAGGAGCTTCTTCAGGAACTTCCAGAGGAGATCAATTAATTGTACAAATATACTATGTTGATGTTGCAGGGCTTCTTCAGAGAAAGGTTTATAAAATGCTATTACTAATGAAAAGGTACTTTGTTGGTATGTAGGCAGAACATAATTTTCTGCAGTGTTCAGTTTCTCATTTGAAGTACTTAATTGTAATCGATTTACTGAGATAATCTTCTACTTGTGAAACTAATGCAAACATCTGGTATCAACTTCTCAAGACTGCAGAAGTTGGTGTGGCTGTATTTCTACAGCCACAGCTAAGGTTCATCAGCCCCAGAGCAATGTTTTTGAGAATAACTTATGTGTTTTAGACTGCAAAGACAGTAGCACAGCTTCAGAAATGTTTGTTTTGTACTACTGCTTCTGTCACCTGAACAAGTGAWGAACAGCAGATGTTGAGAGTATTTGAGAGCCATCCTGCTTTGTCTGGGTRCACGTTGCCTGTGAAGCTGCTTGCTTCTGAGCAGAACAGCTCTACTTAGTTTTCACAGAMTTTGAGCTTGGAACCTGCTCTGTGTCTATCCCAAAGCTTTAAGTACATTCTGGGGTGTGTACCAACAGTGAAAAGGAATTGAACAGGCTGACTAAATATTACCAACCGTGACATTGTGGTGATGCCTAAAGCATTTCCCCTTTAACGTGTACAATTGCAAACATCTCTTTTGTTTAGAAGAAGCAGTTGCTATCTACTAGTATTTGGCTTTTTAGGGCTAATGCTACACAGTGTAGTTAGGGTGGTTRTCAGTTATTACCCAATTCAAATAAGACAAATCTGGACATGACTCTGAAAGTAATGTCTTACATTGTTTGTACCAAGAAAGTAATGGCACTAGTATTTACTTTTTATATTTTATTATCAAAATCCTTTTGTCACATCCAGTTGTATTAAAATTGTGCATGTGCRTGCCTGTGTATATATATGAAACATAAATAGACTTTGTTCTTTAGTCAGTGGGAATAATCATGCTACTGGGATGTATTCAGATATTGCAGAGAACCTGCATGTGCAATGGWTTGTTAAGGCTAATTATGACATTTTGAAATAAATGTGTGTTTTCACAGGAGCTCTTGTCATTGGCCAAACGGAAACGCAGTGACTCTGAAGAAAAAGAACCACCTGTGAGCAAGCCTACAGCATCTTCAGACTCTGAGACATCAGACAGTGATGATGAAGTGAGTTTATCATRTTATCAGTGAGATTGCTATAGGTTATTTGTCTGATTGTAGCTAAGCAGTGAAACTATTTATCATACAGTATATTTAGCCTGCTGACTTCATAAAGTGGGATTGGCCATCAATGATGGAGAGTGATGGAGACCCATTAAGGCCAGAGGACGTATTATTTTTTCTTTCTCAATTAATGAATATGTTTTGGATTCTAATTGTATACAAAATAGTCTGTCTATAGAAAAGATGACTGCCAGTTTAATCCCATGTTCATATGGTCTGCTGAGTGGCCTGCTTAAAACTAGTGTTTTTCCTGAGTAATGCTTGAAGTAGTAGTGGAGCTGCTAAAGCTGAACTCTGAATTCAGGGAGAGACGTTTTCTGCTTTAGGGTGGAGCTTCTTTCCTAAGAAGAGGGTCAAGGCAGGTGTCAGTATTTTGCGGGTAGTAAAACTGTTYTATTTGGCTACTTTGATTCTCCAAGAACTGTGCTGTGAAGCTGTGTGGCCATTTGGACATGCAACAGGGTGTGTTTTGATTGAAGAAAGAGGCAAGAGTTTAGCATTACTTTGTTTCAAAGATTTGTCAGTTTCTTGTAAGCAGTGTTTATCTGCTGGTTCTGTTTTTAGTATTTGTTCTTGGTACTACATTCTAGAGCCACTTAAAGATCTGTGCATTTAGAAAGAAAATTGAAAAAGGCTTATTAAGACAGGCGTTGACAAACATGTTAGGCAAGTATTTAGGAAAAAAAAAAGTTTCTTGAAAGCTTACAAATACCTTTTGCAAACTTTCTGCGAATTATAGTGAGGTCATCTATTCCACCTATTCCTGAAAACTTGACTGGGAGATGTTTGGTGTGGGTTTTGTGTTGTTTTTCTCTGGAACTACACGAAAGTTTATCCATTGTGGCAACTAATGGGGTAGGCCAGTGACAAACTATTCAGCATTTGTTAGTGTATCAGAGTTCTTCCAATAAGTGTAAATGATTGTGAGATTTAGTTCTTTCTGAGGCATTTTTGAAATAAATATGCTTGGAACTCTGTTTCAAAGCAATCATCCTCTTTAAAAAATAGTGATTCTTGTATCTAATGTATGTCTAAGGCATAGAGACAGACAAAATTGTGAATGGGCTAGATATATTAGGTTTCTTGTTGGGTCTCTCTTACTGACTCAGTCTGTCATAATGTGTGTTTAGATCTGCTGGCCTACAGTTTATTTTATGTTATGTGGAGACCTGCTTGTCTTGAAAAAGTAGACTTGGGTGTGGAGAGCATGTGGGTGATAAAACCTTCCATTCTGTGTTTATCTTTGAAAGCTGTTAGAATTTTACCTTGTATGATAAATAAGGTTTACCTTTTCGTTATATGTAGCGTATCACAATACCTCTTTACAAATTTGCACGGACCTTGCTCATCATTAGTGCCACTGTTGCTCCCTGTCTATTTGATACTCTTTCTAATCTGTGTATCATTACAAATTGATACTATGTTCTTTCTGACCTCCATGCAGCAAGAGGAAAAAGATTTAGAGAAGAGGTAATTAGGACACTTGCTTCTATTCCTGAGCCTGAAATATGCGTTCTGAACTGCTGCTTGTCACAGCAGGMTGAGCAGCTGGTTTATAACAGTTCTGCTTCTGCCAGTCATTCAGTTCTAGGCTTGACTACACTAGTCCTGCTGAACAACTCTGGTTTTAATAAGTATTCTTGTTGTTGGTTTGAAGTTTCTTCAACCTTGGGGATTGGGAGAGGGGGGTGTTAAAGTTGAAATTATATTATTGTACTTCCTGCAAGGTGAAGACCTTTTGCCTGAGGCAAAAGCATGGAAATTGTTGCCCTGGGCTTAATCATACCCATATGTTTCTACAGAGGTTTTTCATTGTGCATGTCCTTTGTAATTCCTGGAAAGCACTAAATGTTCCAAGATTGGCACTATGTTGCATGTACAGGAAAGAAACCTAAATCTCTGTTTCAGAGGATAATGCAGTGTGCTGCTTTTTTTTTTTTAAGGGTGGAAATTTTATGGGGCATAGCAGAGAGAAAAACATTTTGGAATTACTGAATTACAGTGTGTATAAATCATGCT